CCATCCTGCTCCCCATTGACCAGTCCTGCTCCCCATTGACCATTCCTGCTCCCCATTGCCCCCTACTGCTCCCCATTGCCCCCTACTGCTCCCCATTGCCCCCTACTGTTTCCTATTGCCTCCTACTGCTCCCTATTGCCCCCTACTACTCCATCACCCCATACTGTTCCCCATTGACCGTTCCTGCTCCCCATTGACCTGTCATGGTCCGTGTTGACCCATATTGCTCCCCATTGACCAATCCTGCTCCCCATTGACCATTCCTGTTCCACATTGCCCCCCTACTGCTCCCCATTGCCCCCTACTGCTCCCTATTACCCCGTACTGCTCCCTATTGACCCCTACTGCTCCCTATTGCCCCCTACTACTCCATCACCCCATACTGTTCCCCATTGACCGTTCCTGCTCCCCATTGACCCGTCATGGTCCGTGTTGACCCATATTGCTCCCCATTGACCCATCCTGCTCCCCATTGCCCCCTACTGCTCCCTATTACCCCCTACTGCTCCCCATTGCCCCCTACTGCTCCCTATTGCCCCCTACTGCTCCCTATTACCCCCTACTGCTCCCTATTGCCCCCTATTGCTCCCTATTGCCCCCTACTACTCCATCACCCCATACTGTTCCCCATTGACCGTTCCTGCTCCCCATTGACCCGTCATGGTCCGTGTTGACCCATATTGCTCCCCATTGACCCATCCTGCTCCCCATTGACCAGTCCTGCTCCCCATTGACCATTCCTGCTCCCCATTGCCCCCTACTGCTCCCCATTGCCCCCTACTGCTCCCTATTGCCCCCTACTGCTCCCTATTGCCCCCTACTGCTCCCCATTGACCCGTCATGGTCCATGTTGACCCATATTGCTCCCCCCGTTGCAGGTGAGAAGCCCCACCAGTGCTCGGTGTGCTGGCGTTCCTTCTCGCTGCGGGACTACCTGCTCAAGCACATGGTGACCCACACGGGCGTGCGGGCCTTCCAGTGCCCGCTGTGCGCCAAGCGCTTCACACAGAAGAGCTCGCTCAACGTGCACATGCGCACGCATCGCCCCGGCCGCTTCCAGTGCCCGCTCTGCGCCAAGGCCTTCTCCCACCGCACCCTCCTGGAGCGCCACGCGGCCACCGGGCACCCCGGGGCGGCGGCGTTGGGGCCGGCGACGTCGTTGGGGGCAGCGTTGGGGCCGGCGGCAGCGTTGGGGTCATCAACGTCATTGGGTTCATCGTTGGGGCCGTCAACGTCGTTGGGGCCGTCAACGTCATTGGGGTCATCGTTGGGGCCGTCAACGTTGTTGGGGTCATCGTTGGGTTCGTCAACGTCATTGGGTTCATCGTTGGGGCCGTCAACGTCGTTGGGGCCGTCAACGTCATTGGGGTCATCGTTGGGGCCGTCAACGTTATTGGGGTCATCGTTGGGTTCGTCAACGTCATTGGGTTCATCGTTGGGGCCGTCAACGTCATTGGGGTCAGCGTTGGGGCCGGCGGCGGCGTTGGGGTCATCAACGTCATTGGGGTCATCGTTGGGGCCGTCAACGTTATTGGGGTCATCGTTGGGGCCGTCAACATTAGTGGGGTCATCGTTGGGGCCGTCAACGTCATTGGGGCCGTCAACGTCATTGGGGTCATCGTTGGGGCCGTCAACATCATTGGGGTCATCGTTGGGGCCGTCAACGTCATTGGGGCCATCAACGTCATTGGGGTCAGCGTTGGGGGCAGTGTTGGGGCCGTCGGCGGCGTTGGGGTCATCAACATCATTGGGGCCGTCAACGCCATTGGGGTCATCGTTGGGGCTGTCGGCATCGTCGGGGTCACCGTTGGGGCCATCAACGTCATTGGGGCCGTCAACATCATTGGGATTAGCGTTGGGGCCGTCGGCATCGTTGGGGGCAGCGTTTGGCCCGTCAACGTCATTGGGGCCATCAACGTCATTGGGGTCATCATTGGGGCCGTCGGCATCGTTGGGGTCAACAGCACCATTGGGGTCTCCATTGGGGCCGTCGGCGTCCCTGGGGTCACCACTGGGACCGTCAACATCATTGGGGTCAATGGCATCATTGGAGTCCCCGTTGGGGCCATCAACGTCATTGGGGTCCCCGTTGGGGCCGTCGGCATTGTTGGGCTCATCGGCATCATTGGGGTCCCCATTGGGGCCGTCAATGTCGTTGGGGTCGTCGTTGGGGCCGTCAACATCGTTGGGGTCTATGGCAGCAATGGGGTCCCCATTGGGGCCATCAACGTCATTGGGGCCACCATTGGTGCCGTCGGCATCATTGGGGTCCGCAGCACCATTGGGGTCACAGTTGGGGGCATCAACATCGTTGGGGTCAACAGCATCATTGGGGCCATCACTGGGGCCGTTGGCATCGGTGGGGTCAACAGCATCATTGGGGGCACCAGTGGGGCCGTCAGCATCAGTGGGGTCAGCAGCATCATTGGGGCCACCAACACCATTGGGGTCATCATTGGGGCCATCAGCATCATTGGGGTCATCACTGGGGCCATCAACATCCTTGGGGCCACCATTGGGGCCATCGACATCGTTGGGGTCAGCAGCACCATTGGGGTCAACAGCACCATTAGGGCCATCCTTGGGGTCAACAGCATCATTGGGGCCACCATTGGGGCCATCAACATCAATGGGGCCATCAACATCAATGGGGCCATCAACATCAATGGGGCCACCCTTGGGGCCATCAACATCAATGGGGCCATCAACATCAATGGGGCCACCCTTGGGGCCATCAACATCAATGGGGCCACCCTTGGGGCCAGCATCAGCACCATTGGGGCCCCCAGCAGCCCCGGGGGGTGCTGAGCCTGTGGGTGCCAGCCCCACTCGCACCACCTGAGGCCGACCCATAGGGATGGGGTGGGATTGGTGTGGTTATGGGGTGGGTTGGGGGGCACTTAGGGGTCCCCGGTGTCACCTCCCCATTGATGGGGACAACCAAGACATGGCCTCGAAGCTCTCTTGTTGTGCTGTCTTTTGTCCTTTGGGGCCCCATAAATAGGGGGTGGCGACCAATGGGGAGGGATCCCCGCCCTCCCCAGGTCTCTGTTGAACCAATGGGATGCGAGAAGGGGTTGGGGGAGCCAATGAGCGCGTCCAGCATCCTCCTGGGGTCGATGATGGGAACCAATCAGGTGCGTCCAATGGGGTGGGACCGTTCCCATTGAGGATTGGTCCAATTGGATGCTCCGGGGGTCGATGATGGGAACCAATCAGGTGCGTCCAATGGGGTGGGACCGTTCCCAATGAGGATTGGTCCAATTGGATGCTCCCGGGGTTGACGATGGGAACCAATCAGGTGCGTCCAATGGGGTGGGACCGTTCCCAATGAGGATTGGTCCAATTGGATGCTCCGGTTGATGGGAACCAATCAGGTGCGTCCAATGGGGTGGGACCGTTCCCATTGAGGATTGGTCCAATTGGATGCTCCGGGGGTCGATGATGGGAGCCAATCAGGTGCGTCCAATGGGGTGGGACCGTTCCCATTGAGGATTGGTCCAATTGGATGCTCCGGGGGTCGACGATGGGAACCAATCAGGTGCGTCCAATGGGGTGGGACCGTTCCCAATGAGGATTGGTCCAATTGGATGCTCCGTTGACGATGGGAACCAATCAGGTGCGTCCAATGGGATGGGACCGTTCCCATTGAGGATTGGTCCAATTGGATGCTCCGGGGGTTGATGACGGGAACCAATCAGGTGCGTCCAATGGGATGGGACTGTTCCCATTGAGGATTGGTCCAATTGGATGCTCCGTTGACGATGGGAACCAATCAGGTGCGTCCAATGGGGTGGGACCGTTCCCAATGAGGATTGGTCCAATTGGATGCTCCGGATGATGGGAACCAATCAGGTGCGTCCAATGGGGTGGGACTGTTCCCATTGAGGATTGGTCCAATTGGATGCTCCGGGGGTCGATGATGGGAACCAATCAGGTGTGTCCAATGGGGTGGGACCGTTCCCATTGAGGATTGGTCCAATTGAATGCTCCGGATGATTTGAACCAATCAGGTGCGTCCAATGGGGTGGGACTGTTCCCATTGACGATTGGTCCAATTGGATGCTCCGTTGATGATGGGAACCAATCAGGTGCGTCCAATGGGATGGGACTGTTCCCATTGAGGATTGGTCCAATTGGATGCTCCCGGGGGTTGATGATGGGAACCAATCAGGTGCGTCCAATGGGGTGGGACCGTTCCCAATGAGGATTGGTCCAATTGGATGCTCCGGTTGATGGGAACCAATCAGGTGCGTCCAATGGGGTGGGACCGTTCCCATTGAGGATTGGTCCAATTGGATGCTCCGGGGGTCGATGATGGGAACCAATCAGGTGTGTCCAATGGGGTGGGACCGTTCCCATTGAGGATTGGTCCAATTGAATGCTCCGGATGATTTGAACCAATCAGGTGCGTCCAATGGGGTGGGACCGTTCCCATTGAGGATTGGTCCAATTGGATGCTCCGGATGATGGGAACCAATCAGGTGCGTCCAATGGGGTGGGACCGTTCCCATTGAGGATTGGTCCAATTGGATGCTCCCGGGGTTGATGATGGGAACCAATCAGGTGCGTCCAACGGGAATGAACGAATGAAGCCCGCTTGGGTTCCCAGCGAGGCGGCATCTGATTGGCTGCCGAGATGTCAATCACAGCCTTAACCCCCGCCTCCCCGATGCTGATTGGTCGGGCGCCGCCTTCCCTTCCCGTTGCTTGGCCCCACCTCGGGGAGGAAGAAGCGGATTGGATCCTCGCTCTGTCACTCCGCGCGTTCCCCATGCCTATTGGCTCAGCTCCGCGCCGTCCCGCCCCCCAAAGGCGGCGGGAAGGGGGCTGAGGCCCGCAAGGCACCGCCTTTTCCCCCTTCCCCTCACTCCCATTGGCTGTCCGCGCCGTCAATCATCCTAATCCCCGCCCTCTCCCCCTCACGCCGCGCTCTGATTGGCCGCCGCCTCAGGCTGAGGAGGGCTCTGTGTGTGTGTGGGGAAGGAGCCGCGGCCGCCATGTCGGCTCCGGCCGAGGGGAGCGGGAGCGGGCCCGGGGCTGGGCCCGGGGCCGGGCCGGGCTCCGCGGAGCTCCTGGAGCGCTGCGGGGGCTGCGGGGAGCGGCTGCGGGCGGAGCGGGAGCCGCGGCTCCTCCCGTGCCTGCACTCCCTGTGCGGGGGCTGCCTCCGAGCACCGGCGGGAGGGAGCGGTGAGGGGAGGCCGGGGGGGGGGAATGGGGATGGGAATGGGGCTGTGGGGATGGGGATGTGGGGATGGGAATGGGGTTGGGAATGGGGTTATGGGGATGGGAATGGGGATGTGGGGATGGGAATGGGGTTGGGAATGGGGTTATGGGGATGGGGCCATAGGGATGGGAATGGGGTTGGGAATGGGGTTATGGGGATGGGAATGGGGATGTGGGGATGGGAATGGGGTTATGGGGATGGGGATGGGAATGGGGATGTGGGGATGGGAATGGGGTTATGGGGATGGGAATGGGGATGTGGGGATGGGAATGGGGCAATGGGTCTGTGGGGATGGGGACGTGGGGATGGGAATGGGGTTATGGGGATGGGAATGGGGTTATGGGGATGGGAATGGGGATGTGGGGATGGGAATGGGGTTATGGGGATGGGAATGGGGATGTGGGGATGGGAATGGGGATGTGGGGATGGGAATGGGGCAATGGGTCTGTGGGGATGGGGACGTGGGGATGGGAATGGGGTTGGGAATGGGGTTATGGGGATGGGAATGGGGATGTGGGGCTGGGAATGGGGCCATAGGGATGGGAATGGGGTTGGGAATGGGCCTGGGGATGGGGTTGTGGGGATGGGAATGGGGCTGGGAATGGGGTTGGGAATAGGGCCACAGAGATGGGAATGGGGCCATGGAGATGGGAATGGGGCTGTGGGGATGGGAATGGGGCCATAGGGATGGGAATGGGCATGTGGGGCTGAGAATGGGGTTGTGGGGATGGGGATGGGAATGGGGTTATGAGGATGGGAATGGGGTTATGGGGCTGGGAATGGGGCTGTGGGGATGGGGTTGTGGGGATGGGAATGGGGCCGGGAATGGGGCTGTGGGGATGGGAATGGGGTTGGGAATGGGGCTGGGAATGGGGCTGTGGGGATGGGAATGGGGTTGGGAATGGGGCTGGGAATGGGGATGTGGGGATGGGGTTGTGGAGATGGGAATGGGGCTGGGAATGGGGATGTGGGGATGGGGTTGTGGAGATGGGAATGGGGCTGGGAAGGGGGCTGGGAATAGGGCCGCAGAGATGGGAATGGGGCTGTGGGGATGGGGTTGTGGAGATGGGAATGGGGCCATGGAGATGGGAATGGGGCTGTGGGGATGGGGATGGGAATAAGGTTATGGGGATGGGAATGGGGCCGTAGGGATGGGAATGGGTATGTGGGGATGGGAATGGGGTTGGGAATGTGGCTGGGAATAGGGCCACAGAGATGGGAATGGGGTAATGGGGATGGGAATGGGGCTATAGGAATGGGAATGGGGCCAGGAATGGGGCTGTGGGGATGGGGTTGTGGGGATGGGAACGGGGTTATGGAGATGGGAATGGGGTTATGGGGCTGTGGGGATGGGAATTTGGTAGGGAATGGGGCCATAGGAATGGGAATGGGGCTGTAGGGATGGGAATGGGGTTATGGGGAGGGGAATGGGGCTGTGGGGATGGGATTGGGGTTGTGGGGATGGGAATGGGGCTATGGGAATGGGGTTATGGGGATGCGAATGGGGTTGTGGGGGTGGGAATGGGGTTATGGGTATGGGAATGGGGTTGTGGGGGTGGGAATGGGGTTGTGGGGATGGGAATGGGGTTGTGGGGATGGGAATGGGGTTGTGGGGATGGGAATGGGGTTGTGGGGCTGGGAATGGGGTTATGGGAATGGGGTTATTGATGTGGGGATGGGGTTATGGGGCTGGGAATGGGGTTATGGGAATGGGGTTATTGATGTGGGATTGGGGTTATGGGGCTGGGAGTGGGGTTGTGGGGCTGGGAATGGGGTTATGGGGATGGGAATGGGGATGGTAATGGGGCCATGGGGCTGGGAATGGGGTTATTGATGTGGGATTGGGGTTGTGGGGATGGCAATGGGGTTGTGGGGCTGGGAGTGGGGTTATGGGAATGGGGCTGGGAATGGGGCCGTGGGGCTGGGAATGGGGTTATTGATGTGGGGATGGGGCCGTGGGGCTGGGAATGGGGTTATGGGGCTGGGAATGGGGCCATGGGGCTGGGAATGGGGTTATTGATGTGGGGATGGGGCCGTGGGGCTGGGAATGGGGTTGTGGGGCTGGGAATGGTGCCGTGGGGCTGGGAATGGGGGCATTGATGTGGGGATGGGGCCGTGGGGCTGGGATTGGGGTTGTGGGGCTGGGAATGGGGTTGTGGGGTTGGGAATGGGGCCGTGGGGCTGGGAATGGGGTTATGGGGCTGGGAATGGGGCCATGGGGCTGGGAATGGGGTTATTGATGTGGGGATGGGGCCGTGGGGCTGGGAATGGGGTTGTGGGGCTGGGAATGGTGCCGTGGGGCTGGGAATGGGGGCATTGATGTGGGGATGGGGCCGTGGGGCTGGGATTGGGGTTGTGGGGCTGGGAATGGGGTTGTGGGGTTGGGAATGGGGCCGTGGGGCTGGGAATGGGGTTATGGGGCTGGGAATGGGGCCATGGGGCTGGGAATGGGGTTATTGATGTGGGGATGGGGCCGTGGGGCTGGGAATGGGGCCATGGGGCTGGGAATGGGGGCATTGATGTGGGTTTGGGGCCATCCCCCAGGCCTGGAGTGCCCCGTCTGCCACAGCCAGTGCCGGCCCCAGGACGTGGTGGAGAATTACTTCCTATGGGAGGGCAGCGCCGAGCCCCCCCCCGGCGGCCAGGGCACCAGCCAGGTAGCGTCAGTATTAGGGGCTAATTAGGGACTAATTAGCACTTAATTAGCGTGGCGTTATCGCCTCTTTAGTGCCTTACTATTGGGGCGTTATTAGAGAATTATTAGTGCGTTATTAGGGCGTTATTAGCGTGTTATTAGCGCGTTAATAGTGTGTCATTAGCGCGTTATTGGTGTGTTATTCGGGCGCTGTTAGTGTGTGTTTAGTGCGTTATTAGTGTCTCATTAGGGTTTAATTAGTGCTTTGTTAGTATGTTGCTATTAGTGTTTTATTAGGGCGCTATTAGTGTTTTATTAGCGCGTTATTAGAGTATTAGTAGCGTGTCAGTAGCGCATTATTAGTGCTTCAATAGTGCTTAATTAGTGCACCATTAGTGGTTGTTTAGTGTGTAATTAGCGCGTTATGAGTGTATAACTAGAGCGTTATTAGTGCGTTATTAGTGTCTAATTAGCGTATTAGTAATGGTTCATTAGTGCTTTGTTAGCGTGTAATTACTTTGTTGTTAGTGTTACTAGTTTTTAGTTATTAGTGTGTCATTAACACATCATTAGTGCCTCATTATTAGTGCATTATTAGGCCTTCATTAGTGTTTAATTTGCATAGTGCCTTATTAGTAGGTTATTAGTGTTTCATGTTTGCACGTTATTAGACCGTTACTAGTGTGTTATTAGCTTGTTATTAGCCCGTTATTACTGCATTATTAGCCATTTTAAGTGCATTATTACTGCATTATTAGTGCTTTATTAGACCGTTATTAGTGTGTTATTAGCATGTTATTAGCCCACTATTACTGCATTATTAGCCCATTAATAGTGTGTTGCTAGCTGGTTATCAGCGCGTTACTTGCCTGTTATTAGCCCATTATTATTGCCTTGTTAGCCTGTTATTAGCCCATTATTAGTGCATTATTAGCGCGTTATTAGCACGTTATTAGCGAGTTCTTAGTCCATTATTAATGCGTTTTTAGCTTGTTATTAGCATCTTATTAGCCTGTTATTAAACAGTTATTAGCACGTTATTAATGCATTATTAGCCCGTTATTAGCCTGTTATTAATGCCTTATTAGCCCGTTATTAAACCATTACTAGCATGTTATTAGTACGTTATTAATGCATTATTAGCCTGTTAGTAGTGCGTTGTTAAGCTGTTATTGGTATGTTATTAGCATGTCGATAGTGCGTTATTAACTAGTTACTAGTGCATCATTAGCCCGTTATTAGCCTGTTATTAGCGCCTTATTAGCCCGTTATTAAAGCGTTATTAATGTGTAATTAGCCCATTATTAGTGCGTTTTTAAGCTGTTATAAATTTGTTATTAGCCTGTTCTTAGCCCATTATTAGCGCGTTATCGGCATGATATTACCTCGTCATTAGTGCATTATTAGCCCGTTATTAGTGCGTTATTAAGCAGTTATTAGCTTGTTATTAGCCCGTTATCAGTGCGTTATTAAGCTGTTACTAGCGCATTATTAGCCTGTTATTGCCGTGTCCTTAGTGTGTTATTAACCAGTTATTACTGCATCATTAGCCCGTTATTAAGCCGTTATTAGCCCGTTATTAGCGCTAATAATTAATGTCCCCCCCCAGTGCTGCACGAGCTGCGAGGACAACGCGGCGGCCACCAGTTACTGCGTGGAGTGCTCGGAGCCGCTGTGCGGGACGTGCGTGGAGGCGCACCAGCGCGTCAAGTACACCAAGGACCACACCGTGCGCGCCATGGGTGCGCCCCACCGCCCCCCGCTGCCCCTTGTGGCCCTATGGTGGCCCTTGGCCTTCCCTTGGTGGCCCTATGGTGGCCCTTGGTGTCCATATGGTGGCCTTTGGGGTCCCCTTGGTGGCCCTATGGTGGCCCTTGGCCTTCCCTTGGTGGCCCTATGGTGGCCCTTGGCCTTCCCTTGGTGGCCCTATGGTGGCCCTTGGTGTCCTTATGGTGGCCCTTGGGGTCCCCTTGGTGGCCCTATGGTGGCCCTTGGCCTTCCCTTGGTGGCCCTATGGTGGCCCTTGGTGTCCATATGGTGGCCTTTGGGGTCCCCTTGGTGGCCCTATGGTGGCCTCTTAGTGGCCCTATGGTGGCCCTTGGTGGCCCTATGGTGGCCCTTGGCCTTCCCTTGGTGGCCCTATGGTGGCCTCTTAGTGTCCATATGGTGGCCCTTGGTGGCCCTATGGTGGCCCTTGGTGTCCATATGGTGGCCTTTGGGGTCCCCTTGGTGGCCCTATGGTGGCCCTTGGTGGCCCTATGGTGGCCTCTTGGTGGCCCTATGGTGGCCCTATGGTGGCCTCTTAGTGGCCCTTGGTGGCCCTATGGTGGCCTCTTGGTGGCCCTATGGTGGCCCTATGGTGGCCTCTTAGTGGCCCTTGGTGGTCCTATGGTGGCCTCTTAGTGTCCATATGGTGGCCTTTGGGCTCCCCTTGGTGGCCCTATGGTGGCCCTTGGTGTCCATATGGTGGCCTTTGGGGTCCCCTTGGTGGCCCTATGGTGGCCCTTGGTGTCCATATGGTGGCCCTTGGGGTCCCCTTGGTGGCCCTATGGTGGCCCTTGGTGGCCCTATGGTGGCCTCTTAGTGGCCCTATGGTGGCCCTTGGCCTTCCCTTGGTGGCCCTTGGCCTTCCCTTGGTGGCCCTATGGTGGCCTCTTAGTGTCCTTATGGTGGCCGTGACGTTGCCGTGATGGCACAATGACATTGCCGTGACACCATGACAATGACGTTGCCATAACCATAACGCCATGACGGTGATGTCGCCGTGACGGCACGATGACGGTGCCATGACGCCGTGACGATGACATCGCCGTGATGGCATGATGACGATGACGTCACCGTGACGCCACGATGATGCCGTGGCCATGATGGCACAATGACGTTGGCGTGATGGCACGATGACGTCGCCGTGACGCCACGATGATGACGTCACTGTGATGGCACAATGACGTCGCCTTGATGGCACGATGACGTTGCCGTGATGGCACAATGATGTTGCCGTGACGCCATGATGATGACGTCGCCGTGACGGCGCAATGACAATGACGTCACTGTGACACCATGATGATGACGTAGCCGTGACGGCACGATGACGGTGCCGTGACACCATGACGGTGACGTCACTGTGATGGCACAATGCCGATGACATCGCCGTGATGGCACGATGACGTCACCGTAACGCCACGATGATGGTGTCGCCGTGATGGCACGATGATGTTGCCGTGACACCATGACGATGATGTCACTGCGATGGCACGATGACGTCACCGTAATGCCACGATGATGGCGTCGCCGTGATGGCACGATGACGTTGCCATGATGGCACGATGACGTTGATCTGATGGCACGATGACGTTGCCCTGATGGCACGATGATGGCGTCGCCGTGATGGCACGATGACGTTGCCCTGATGGCACGATGACGTTGATCTGATGGCATGATGACGTTGCCATGATGGCACGATGACGTTGCCCTGATGGCACGATGACGTTGCCCTGATGGCACGATGACGTTGATCTGATGGCACGATGACGTTGCCCTGATGGCACGATGACGTTGATCTGATGGCACGATGACGTTGCCCTGATGGCACGATGACGTTGCCCTGATGGCACGATGACGTTGATCTGATGGCACGATGACGTTGCCCTGATGGCACGATGACGTTGATCTGATGGCACGATGACGTTGCCCTGATGGCACGATGACGTTGATCTGATGGCACGATGACGTTGCCCTGATGGCACGATGACGTTGATCTGATGGCACGATGACGTTGCCATGATGGCACGATGACGTTGCCATGATGGCACGATGACGTTGCCCTGATGGCACGATGACGTTGCCATGATGGCACGATGACGTTGATCTGATGGCACGATGACGTTGATCTGATGGCACGATGACGTTGCCATGATGGCACGATGACGTTGATCTGATGGCACGATGACGTTGCCCTGATGGCACGATGACGTTGCCATGATGGCACGATGACGTTGATCTGATGGCACGATGACGTTGCCCTGATGGCACGATGACGTTGATCTGATGGCACGATGACGTTGCCCTGATGGCACGATGACGTTGCCATGATGGCACGATGACGTTGATGTGATGGCACGATGACGTTGCCCTGATGGCACGATGACGTTGCCCTGATGGCACGATGACGTTGATCTGATGGCACGATGACGTTGCCCTGATGGCACGATGACGTTGATCTGATGGCACGATGACGTTGCCCTGATGGCACGATGACGTTGATCTGATGGCACGATGACGTTGATCTGATGGCACGATGACGTTGATCTGATGGCACGATGACGTTGCCCTGATGGCACGATGACGTTGCCATGATGGCACGATGACGTTGCCCTGATGGCACGATGACGTTGCCATGATGGCACGATGACGTTGATCTGATGGCACGATGACGTTGCCCTGATGGCACGATGACGTTGCCATGATGGCACGATGACGTTGCCCTGATGGCACGATGACGTTGATCTGATGGCACGATGACGTTGCCATGATGGCACGATGACGTTGCCATGATGGCACGATGACGTTGCCCTGATGGCACGATGACGTTGCCGATGACATCGCGGTGACGGCACGATGACGCCTCCGTGACGCCGCGATGCCCATGACGTCGCCGTGACGGCATGACAATGACGTCACGGTGACGTCACCCCCCTTCCCTTCGTAGGCGGCGGCCGCGCCGCGGCGCGCACCCTCTTCTGCCCCGTGCACCGGCAGGAGCCGCTGGCGCTCTTCTGCGCCACGTGCGAGGCGCTCACGTGCCGGGACTGCCAGCTCGGAGCCCACCAGGACCACCGGTGAGGCCGGGAGGGAATGGACTGGGTGTGAACGGGGCAATTAATTGGGGGTTAATTGGAATTAATTGGGGGTTAACGGGGGAATTAATTGGGGGTTAATGGGAATTAATTGGGGGTTAACGGGGGAATTAATTGGGGGTTAACAGGGGAATGAATTGGGGGTTAACGGGGAATGAATTGGGTATTAACGGGGGAATTAATTGGGGGTTAACGGGGGAATTAATTGGGGGTTAACGGGGAATGAATTGGGTATTAACGGGGGAATTAATTGGGGGTTAACGGGGGAATTAATTGGGGGTTAACGGGGGAATTAATTGGGGGTTAATGGCAATTAATTGGGTGTTAACGGGGGAATTAATTGGGGGTTAACGGGGAATGAATTGGGGGTTAACGGGGGAATGAATTGGGGGTTAATGGGAATTAATTGGGTGTGAACGGGGCAATTAATTGGGGGTTAACGGGGGAATTAATTGGGGGTTAACGGGGGAATTAATTGGGTTTTAACGGGGGAATTAATTGGGGGTTAACGGGGGAATGAATTGGGTGTGAACGGGGGAATTAATTGGGGGTTAACAGGGGAATTAATTGGGTATTAACGGGAATTAATTGGGGGTTAACGGGGGAATTAATTGGGGGTTAACGGGGGAATTAATTGGGAGTTAACGGGGGAATTAATTGGGGGTTAATGGGAATTAATTGGGTGTTAATGGGAATTAATTGGGGGTTAACGGGGGAATTAATTGGGGGTTAACGGGGGAATGAATTGGGAGTGAACGGGGGAATGAATTGGGTGTTAACAGGGGAATTAATTGGGTATTAACGGGAATTAATTGGGTGTTAACGGGGGAATTAATTGGGGGTTAACGGGGGAATTAATTGGGTATTAACGGGCGAATTAATTGGGGGTTAACGGGGGAATTAATTGGGGGTTAACGGGGGAATTAATTGGGGGTTAACGGGGGAATGAATTGGGTGTTAATGGGAATTAATTGGGGGTTAACGGGGGAATTAATTGGGTGTTAATGGGAATTAATTGGGGGTTAACGGGGGAATTAATTGGGGGTTAACGGAATGAATTGGGTGTGAACGGGGGAATTAATTGGGGGTTAACAGGGGAATTAATTGGGTATTAACGGGAATTAATTGGGTGTTAACGGGGGAATTAATTGGGGGTTAACGGGGGAATTAATTGGGTGTTAACGGGGGAATTAATTGGGGGTTAACGGGGGAATTAATTGGGGGTTAACGGGGGAATTAATTGGGTGTTAACGGGGGAATTAATTGGGGGTTAACGGGGGAATTAATTGGGTGTTAACGGGGGAATTAATTGGGGGTTAGCGGGGGAATTAATTGGGTGTTAACGGGGAAATTAACTGGGTATTAACGAGAATTAATTGGGTATTAACGGGAATGAATTGGGTGTTAACGAGGAATTAATTGGGTATGGAGGAGATTAATTAATTGGGTGTGGAGTGAATGAATTAATTGGGTATGAAGGGGATTAATTGGGTATGAAGGGGATTAATTGAGTATGGAGGAGATGAATTAATTGGTTAATGGGGGGATGAATTAATTGGGTAGGGAGGGGATTAATTAATTGGGTACCCCCCCGTTCCTCAGCACCCATGGGTGCTCTGTGTCCCCTCCATTCCTCAGCACCCATGGGTGCTCTGTGTCCCCTCCATTCCTCAGCACCCATGGGTGCTCTGTGTCCCCTCCATTCCTCAGCACCCATGGGTGCTCTGTGTCCCCTCCATCCCTCAGCACCCATGGGTGCTCTGTGTCCCCTGTTCCTCAGCACCCATGGGTGCTCTGTGTCCCCTGTTCCTCAGCACCCATGGGTGCTCTGTGTCCCCTCCATTCCTCAGCACCCATGGGTGCTCTGTGTCCCCTCCATTCCTCAGCACCCATGGGTGCTCTGTGTCCCCCCCGTTCCTCAGCACCCATGGGTGCTCTGTGTCCCCCGTTCCTCAGCACCCATGGGTGCTCTGTGTCCCCTCCATCCCTCAGCACCCATGGGTGCTCTGTGTCCCCCCCGTTCCTCAGCACCCATGGGTGCTCTGTGTCCCCTCCATTCCTCAGCACCCATGGGTGCTCTGTGTCCCCTCCATTCCTCAGCACCCATGGGTGCTCTGTGTCCCCTCCATCCCTCAGCACCCATGGGTGCTCTGTGTCCCCCCCGTTCCTCAGCACCCATGGGTGCTCTGTGTCCCCTCCATCCCTCAGCACCCATGGGTGCTCTGTGTCCCCTGTTCCTCAGCACCCATGGGTGCTCTGTGTCCCCTCCATTCCTCAGCACCCATGGGTGCTCTGTGTCCCCCCCGTTCCTCAGCACCCATGGGTGCTCTGTGTCCCCTCCATTCCTCAGCACCCATGGGTGCTCTGTGTCCCCCCCGTTCCTCAGCACCCATGGGTGCTCTGTGTCCCCTCCATTCCTCAGCACCCATGGGTGCTCTGTGTCCCCTCCATCCCTCAGCACCCATGGGTGCTCTGTGTCCCCCCCGTTCCTCAGCACCCATGGGTGCTCTGTGTCCCCTGTTCCTCAGCACCCATGGGTGCTCTGTGTCCCCTCCATTCCTCAGCACCCATGGGTGCTCTGTGTCCCCTCCATTCCTCAGCACCCATGGGTGCTCTGTGTCCCCCCCGTTCCTCAGCACCCATGGGTGCTCTGTGTCCCCCGTTCCTCAGCACCCATGGGTGCTCTGTGTCCCCTCCATCCCTCAGCACCCATGGGTGCTCTGTGTCCCCCCCGTTCCTCAGCACCCATGGGTGCTCTGTGTCCCCTCCATTCCTCAGCACCCATGGGTGCTCTGTGTCCCCTCCATTCCTCAGCACCCATGGGTGCTCTGTGTCCCCTCCATCCCTCAGCACCCATGGGTGCTCTGTGTCCCCCCCGTTCCTCAGCACCCATGGGTGCTCTGTGTCCCCTCCATCCCTCAGCACCCATGGGTGCTCTGTGTCCCCTGTTCCTCAGCACCCATGGGTGCTCTGTGTCCCCTCCATTCCTCAGCACCCATGGGTGCTCTGTGTCCCCCCCGTTCCTCAGCACCCATGGGTGCTCTGTGTCCCCTCCATTCCTCAGCACCCATGGGTGCTCTGTGTCCCCCCCGTTCCTCAGCACCCATGGGTGCTCTGTGTCCCCTCCATTCCTCAGCACCCATGGGTGCTCTGTGTCCCCTCCATCCCTCAGCACCCATGGGTGCTCTGTGTCCCCTCCATCCCTCAGCACCCATGGGTGCTCTGTGTCCCCTGTTCCTCAGCACCCATGGGTGCTCTGTGTCCCCTCCATCCCTCAGCACCCATGGGTGCTCTGTGTCCCCTGTTCCTCAGCACCCATGGGTGCTCTGTGTCCCCTCCATTCCTCAGCACCCATGGGTGCTCTGTGTCCCCCCCGTTCCTCAGCACCCATGGGTGCTCTGTGTCCCCTCCATCCCTCAGCACCCATGGGTGCTCTGTGTCCCCTGTTCCTCAGCACCCATGGGTGCTCTGTGTCCCCTGTTCCTCAGCACCCATGGGTGCTCTGTGTCCCCTCCATTCCTCAGCACCCATGGGTGCTCTGTGTCCCCTGTTCCTCAGCACCCATGGGTGCTCTGTGTCCCCTCCATTCCTCAGCACCCATGGGTGCTCTGTGTCCCCTCCATTCCTCAGCACCCATGGGTGCTCTGTGTCCCCTCCATCCCTCAGCACCCATGGGTGCTCTGTGTCCCCTCCATTCCTCAGCACCCATGGGTGCTCTGTGTCCCCTGTTCCTCAGCACCCATGGGTGCTCTGTGTCCCCTGTTCCTCAGCACCCATGGGTGCTCTGTGTCCCCTGTTCCTCAGCACCCATGGGTGCTCTGTGTCCCCTCCATCCCTCAGCACCCATGGGTGCTCTGTGTCCCCTGTTCCTCAGCACCCATGGGTGCTCTGTGTCCCCCATTCCTCAGCACCCATGGGTGCTCTGTGTCCCCCCCATTCCTCAGCACCCATGGGTGCTCTGTGTCCCCTCCATTCCTCAGCACCCATGGGTGCTCTGTGTCCCCCCCATCCCTCAGCACCCATGGGTGCTCTGTGTCCCCCCCATCCCTCAGCACCCATGGGTGCTCTGTGTCCCCTCCATTCCTCAGCACCCATGGGTGCTCTGTGTCCCCCCCATCCCTCAGCACCCATGGGTGCTCTGTGTCCCCTCCATCCCTCAGTACCCATGGGTGCTCTGTGTCTCCCCCATCCCTCAGCACCCATGGGTGCTCTGTGTCCCCTCCATTCCTCAGCACCCATGGGTGCTCTGTGTCCCCTGTTCCTCAGCACCCATGGGTGCTCTGTGTCCCCTCCATCCCTCAGCACCCATGGGTGCTCTGTGTCCCCCCCGTTCCTCAGCACCCATGGGTGCTCTGTGTCCCCCCCGTTCCTCAGCACCCATGGGTGCTCTGTGTCCCCCCCGTTCCTCAGCACCCATGGGTGCTCTGTGTCCCCTCCATTCCTCAGCACCCATGGGTGCTCTGTGTCCCCTGTTCCTCAGCACCCATGGGTGCTCTGTGTCCCCCCCATTCCTCAGCACCCATGGGTGCTCTGTGTCCCCTCCATCCCTCAGCACCCATGGGTGCTCTGTGTCCCCCCCATTCCTCAGCACCCATGGGTGCTCTGTGTCCCCTCCATTCCTCAGCACCCATGGGTGCTCTGTGTCCCCTCCATCCCTCAGCACCCATGGGTGCTCTGTGTCCCCTCCATTCCTCAGCACCCATGGGTGTTCTGTGTCCCCTGTTCCTCAGCACCCATGGGTGCTCTGTGTCCCCCCCGTTCCTCAGCACCCATGGGTGCTCTGTGTCCCCTCCATCCCTCAGCACCCATGGGTGCTCTGTGTCCCCTCCATTCCTCAGCACCCATGGGTGCTCTGTGTCCCCTGTTCCTCAGCACCCATGGGTGCTCTGTGTCCCCTCCATCCCTCAGCACCCATGGGTGCTCTGTGTCCCCCCAGTTCCTCAGCACCCATGGGTGCTCTGTGTCCCCTCCATCCCTCAGCACCCATGGGTGCTCTGTGTCCCCTCCATCCCTCAGCACCCATGGGTGCTCTGTGTCCCCCCCCAGGTACCAGTTCCTGGAGGAGGCCGTGCGGGGGCAGCGGCAGCAGCTCCAGGCGCTGCTCAAGCGGCTCGGGGACAAGCAGGCGGCGCTGCAGCGAGCGGCCCGCGACGTGCGCGCATTGTGAGTGCCTGCCCCATAGCGGGGGTCAGACCCATAGCGGGGGTGAGACCCATAGAGGGGAGTGAGACCCATAGAGGGGTGTGAGACCCATAGAGGGGGGTGAGACCCATAGAGGGGAGTGAGACCCATAGAGGGGAGTCAGACCCATAGAGGGGAGTCAGACCCATAGCGGGGGTGAGACCCATAGAGGGGTGTGAGACCCATAGAGGGGGGTGAGACCCATAGAGGGGAGTGAGACCCATAGAGGGGAGTCAGACCCATAGCGGGGGTGAGACCCATAGAGGGGGTGAGACCCATAGAGGGGGGTGAGACCCATAGAGGGGGGTGAGACCCATAGCGGGGGGGAGACCCATAGAGGGGGGTGAGACCCATAGCGGGGGGGAGACCCATAGAGGGGGGTGAGACCCATAGAGGGGGTGAGACCCATAGAGGGGTGTGAGACCCATAGAGGGGGTGAGACCCATAGAGGGGGGTGAGACCCATAGCGGGGGGGAGACCCATAGAGGGGGGTGAGACCCATAGAGGGGGTGAGACCCATAGAGGGGTGTGAGACCCATAGAGGGGGTGAGACCCATAGAGGGGAGTGAGACCCATAGAGGGGGTGAGACCCATAGAGGGGAGTGAGACCCATAGCGGGGGGTGAGACCCATAGCGGGGGGTGAGACCCATAGAGGGGGGTGAGACCCATAGAGGGGGGTGAGACCCATAGAGGGGGTGAGACCCATAGAGGGGAGTGAGACCCATAGAGGGGGTGAGACCCATAGCGGGGGTGAGACCCATAGAGGGGAGTGAGACCGCCCCATAGTGGGGGGATGCAGCCCCATAGGGTGAGATCTGAGCCCATAGTGGGGGGATCCAGCCCCATAGAGTGAGATCTGAGCCCATAGTGGGGGGATCCAGCCCCATAGGGTGCATCCTCCGCCCCATAGTGGGGGGATCCAGCCCCATAGCGGGGGGGACGCAGCCCCATAGGGTGCATCCTCCGCCCCATAGCGGGGGGATCCAGCCCCATAGCGGGTGGGATCCAGCCCCATAGGGTGAGATCTGAGCCCATAGTGGGGGGATCCAGCCCCATAGGGTGCATCCTCCGCCCCATAGCGGGGGGATCCAGCCCCATAGCGGGTGGGACGCAGCCCCATAGGGTACATCCTCCGCCCCATAGCGGGGGATCCAGCCCCATAGGGTGAGATCTGAGCCCATAGCGGGGGGATCCAGCCCCATAGCGGGTGGGACGCAGCCCCATAGGGTGCATCCTCCGCCCCATAGCGGGGGGATCCAGCCCCATAGCGGGTGGGACGCAGCCCCATAGGGTGCATCCTCCGCCCCATAGCGGGGGATCCAGCCCCATAGGGTGAGATCTGAGCCCATAGTGGGGGGATCCAGCCCCATAGGGTGCATCCTCCGCCCCATAGCGGGGGGATCCAGCGCCATAGCGGGGGGGACGCAGCCCCATAGGGTGCATCCTCCGCCCCATAGCGGGGGGGACGCAGCCCCATAGGGTGCATCCTCTGCCCCATAGCGGGGGGATCCAGCCCCATAGCGGGTGGGACGCAGCCCCATAGGGTGCATCCTCCGCCCCATAGCGGGGGGATCCAGCCCCATAGCGGGTGGGACGCAGCCCCATAGGGTGCATCCTCCGCCCCATAGCGGGGGGATCCAGCCCCATAGGGTGCATCCTCCGCCCCATAGCGGGGGGATCCAGCCCCATAGCGGGTGGGACGCAGCCCCATAGGGTGCATCCTCCGCCCCATAGCGGGGGGATCCAGCCCCATAGCAGGGGGGACGCAGCCCCATAGAGTGAGATCTGAGCCCATAGTGGGGGGATCCAGCCCCATAGGGTGCATCCTCCGCCCCATAGCGGGGGGATCCAGCCCCATAGCGGGGGGGACGCAGCCCCATAGAGTGAGATCTGAGCCCATAGTGGGGGGATCCAGCCCCATAGCGGGGGGGACGCAGCCCCATAGGGTGCATCCTCCGCCCCATAGCGGGTGGGACGCAGCCCCATAGGGTGCATCCTCCGCCCCATAGCGGGGGGATCCAGCCCCATAGCGGGTGGGACGCAGCCCCATAGGGTGCATCCTCCGCCCCATAGCGGGCCTATGTGTTCCCTCCTGCTCCGTGCCCCACACGTGCAGCATGCGGCGCGTGGCGGAGGTGCAGAAGCGGGTGCAGGTGGAGGTGAAGGTGGCGATCCTGCAGATCATGAAGGAGCTCAACAAGCGGGGCCGGGTGCTGGTCAGCGATGCTCAGGTCAGCCCCATAACCACCCCCCCCCACCTTTTACCCTGCCCCATAACCACCGCCCCATAACCTGCCCCATTGCAGCGCGTCACCGAGGGCCAGCAGGAGAGGTTGGAGCAGCAGCACTGGGCCATGACCCAGCTGCAGCAGCGGCACGAACACGTCCTGCGCTTCACGTCCTGGGCGCTGCAGAGGGACAACAGCGCTGCATTGCTGCTCTGCAAGAGGATGGTGAGGGGCTCGCTGCCCCACATCTCCCCATAGAGACCCACATCCCCCCATAGAGACCCACATCCCGTCATAGGGACCCACATCCCCCCATAGAGACCCCTAACCCAGCCCCATCCCATCCCAATCCCATCCCAGCGCTGCATTGCTGCTCTGCAAGAGGATGGTGAGGGGCTCGGTGCCCCACATAACCCCATAGAGACCCACATCCCCCCATAGGGACCCCTAACCCAGCCCCATCCCATCCCAATCCCATCCCAACCCATCCCAGTGCTGCATTGCTGCTCTGCAAGAGGATGGTGAGGGGCTCGCTGCCCCACATCTCCCCATAGAGACCCACATCCCATCATAGAGACCCCTAACCCAGCCCCATCCCAACCCATCCCAGCGCTGCATTGCTGCTCTGCAAGAGGATGGTGAGGGGCTCGCTGCCCCACATCTCCCCATAGAGACCCACATCCCATCATAGAGACCCCTAACCCAGCCCCATCCCAACCCATCCCAGCGCTGCATTGCTGCTCTGCAAGAGGATGGTGAGGGGCTCGCTGCCCCACATCTCCCCATAGAGACCCACATCCCCCCATAGAGACCCCTGACCCAGCCCCATCCCATCCCAATCCCATCCCAACCCATCCCTGCGCTGCATTGCTGCTCTGCAAGAGGATGGTGAGGGGCTCGCTGCCCCACATAACCCCATAGAGACCCACATCCCCCCATAGGGACCCACATCCCCCCATAGGGACCCCTAACCCAGCCCCATCCCAATCCCAACCCATCCCAGCGCTGCATTGCTGCTCTGCAAGAGGATGGTGAGGGGCTCGGTGCCCCACATCTCCCCATAGAGACCCACATCCCCCCATAGAGACCCACATCCCATCATAGAGACCCCTAACCCAGCCCCATCCCATCCCAATCCCATCCCAACCCATCCCAGCGCTGCATTGCTGCTCTGCAAGAGGATGCTGAGGGGCTCGCTGCCCCACATCTCCCCATAGAGACCCACATCCCCCCATAGGGACCCACATCCCCCCATAGAGACCCACATCCCATCATAGAGACCCACATCCCCCCATAGAGACCCACATCCCCCCATAGGGACCCCTATCCCAGCCCCATCCCAATCCCATCCCAACCCATCCCAGCGCTGCATTGCTGCTCTGCAAGAGGATGGTGAGGGGCTCGGTGCCCCACATAACCCCATAGGGACCCACATCCCCCCATAGAGACCCCTAACCCAGCCCCATCCCAATCCCATCCCAACCCATCCCAGCGCTGCATTGCTGCTCTGCAAGAGGATGGTGAGGGGCTCGCTGCCCCACATCTCCCCATAGAGACCCACATCCCCCCATAGAGACCCACATCCCCCCATAGAGACCCCTAACCCAGCCCCATCCCAATCCCATCCCAACCCATCCCAGCGCTGCATTGCTGCTCTGCAAGAGGATGGTGAGGGGCTCGGTGCCCCACATAACCCCATAGAGACCCACATCCCCCCATAGAGACCCACATCCCCCCATAGGGACCCACATCCCCCCATAGAGACCCACATCCCCCCATAGAGACCCACATCCCCCCGTAGGGACCCACATCCCCCCATAGAGACCCACATCCCCCCATAGGGACCCACATCCCCCCATAGAGACCCACATCCCCCCGTAGGGACCCACATCCCATCATAGAGACCCCCAACCCCCCGCAACCACATCCCAAGCCCCCCCAACCCCCCCCAACCCCATCCCAGCCCCCTGAAACCCCCTCAACCCCCCACACCTCCAAACCCCCCCCAAACCCCCCAACCCCCTCCCAAGCCCCCCAAACCCCCCAAACCCCCCATCCCAACCCCCCACACCTCCGATCCCCCCCCAAACCCCCCCACCCCCATCCCAACCACCCCCCATCCCCCCCCACCTTCACCCCCCTCCCAAACCGCCCAAACCCCCCCGAACCCCCCCATCCCAACCCCCCCAAACCCCCCCATCCCCTCCCATCCCCCCCCAACCCCACCCCCAACCCCCCCAACCCCCCCAGATCCCCCTCATCCCCACCCCACCCCCCCCAAACCCCCCCAACCCCACCCCCCATCCCCCCCATCCTCAACCCCCCACCCCCCCAACCCCCCCAAACCCCCCCCATCCCCCCATCCCCCCCAAACCCCCCATCCCAACCCCCCGCAAACCCCCCCACCCCCATCCCAACCCCCCCAAACCCCCCCAACCCCACCCCCCCAAACCCCCCATCCCAACCCCCCCCACCCCCCATCCCCCCCATCCCCCCCCAAACCCCCCATCCTAACCCCCCTCAAACCCCCCCACCCCCATCCCAACCCCCCCAAAACCCCCCCCAACCCCACCCCCCATCCCCCCCCTCCTCAACCCCCCACCCCCCAAAACCCCCCCATCCCAACCCCCCCCACCCCCCATCCCCCCCATCCTCAACCCCCCACCCCCCCAACCCCCCCCAATCCCCCCCCAACCCCCTGCAACCCCCTATCCCCATCCCAAGCCCCCCAAACCCCCTCCCAACCCCCACCCAAACCCCCCAACCCCCCCACACCCCCATCCCCCCTCCCATCCTCAACCCCCCACCCCCCCCATCCCACCCCCCCCCCAATCCCAACCCATATCCCCCCCTCTGCCCCCCAGATCTGCCTGCAGCTTCAGGCCGCCCTCAAGGCCATGGTGGAGCCGGTGGAGCCCCAGGGGGAGATGAAATTCCAATGGGATCCCAGCGCCTGGACCCACAGCGCCGAGAGCTTCGGTGAGCCCATGCCTGGGGGTGGGGCTATGGGGCAGCACCCATTGGGTGCCCCCCACCCACCTTTAACACCCCCCTCCCCATCGCAGGCAGCATCGTGTCAGAGCGCAGCCTCCCCCCCCCACTTCCAGCCCTCAGCCCCCACGGCTCTGGGGGGTCGCAGGTACCAATATGGGGCTGGGGGGTGTGGGGCAGCACCCATGGGTGCCCCCCAACTGCCTTTAAACACCCCCCCCCCCACCACCACCACCCCCTTATCTACAGGGTGCCCCCCAAGCCGTGGTGGTGAGCAAAGGGCGACCCAGCCCCATGGCGCAAGGAGGGAGCTCGGCCCCTCGCAGTGGGGCTGAGGAAGGGCTGGGCCCCCCCCCCCCACTTCAGGGACCACTTGGGGGGCAGGGTTTGGGCTGCCCCAACCTTTCCCCCCCACATCTTTATCCTGAGATGGGCGAGAGCGGTGGGGACACGGAGATGGGTGAGTTTGGGGGGGGGGATATGGGGCAGGGGGGGGGGATATGGGGCAGGGGGGGGTTATGGGGCGGGGGGGGGGGGATATGGGGCACGGGGGGGGTTATGGGGGGAGGAAGGCTCCTGATGGGGGTTTCTTCAGCAGCCAATGGCCCCCCCGAAGCTGCTGGCACCGGAAGGAAGAGGTGGGTGATGGGGGGGGACACGGGACCTTGGGCTTGTCCCTATAGCCCCATAGGGGACCCTATAGCCCCATAAGTGAGCCTGTCCCTATAGCCCCATAGGGGACCCTATAGCCCCATAGGTGAGCCTGTCCCTATAGCCCCATAGGGGACCCTGTCCCTATAGGTGACCCTGTCCCTATAGCCCTATAGGCGACGCTGTCCCTATAGCCCCATAGCTGACCCTGTCCCTATAGCCCCATAGGTGACCCTGTCCCTATAGCCCCGTAGGTGACCCTGTTCCTATAGCCCCATAGGTGAGCCTGTCCCTATAGCCCTATAGAATACCCTGTTCCTATAGCCCCATAGGGGACCCTATAGCCCCATAGGTGAGCCTGTCCCTATAGCCCTATAGGTGACCCTGTTCCTATAGCCCTATAGAATACCCTGTTCCTATAGCCCCATAGGGGACCCTATAACCCCATAGGTGACCCTGTTTCTATAGCCCTATAGAATACCTTGTCCCTATAGATGACCCTGTCCCTATAGCCCCATAGATGACCTCGTCCCTATAGCCCCATAGGTGACCCTATACTCCCATAGGTGACCCCATAGCCCCATAGGTGACCCTGTCCCTATAGGTGACCCTATCCCCATCTCCCCATAGGTGTCCCTATCTCCCCATAGATCACACTATCCCTGTCTCCCCATAGCTGTCCCCATCTCCCCATAGGTGTCCCCATCTCCCCATAGGCGTCCCCATCTCCCCATAGCTGTCCCTCTCCCCATAGGTGTCCCCATCTCCCCATAGCTGTCCCTCTCCCCATAGCTGTCCCCATCTCCCCATAGCTCTCCCCATCTCCCCATAGCTGTCCCCATCTCCCCATAGATCCCCATCTCCCCATAGATCCCCATCTCCCCATAGCTGTCCCCATCTCCCCATAGATCCCCATCTCCCCATAGCTCTCCCCATCTCCCCATAGATCCCCATCTCCCCATAGATCCCCATCTCCCCATAGACCCCCCTGACCCCCATCCCCCCTCCCTCCCCCCAGGAGCTGCCCCCCCGGCTCCCCCCATCTCCGGAAGGTGCCGCGGGTTCGCCTGGAGCGCCTGGAGCTGGGGCTGGAGCCGGGGGCGGCGCCGCTCTTCCGGGTGCTGCCGGGGGCCTCGGCGCGGGACTTCAGCCTCATCGTCATCGAGGGGGCGGAGCCGCGGCCCCCGCCCCCCCCACTCAAGGTTAGGGGGCACCGCCCCACATCTGTCACGTGGCTGAGCCGCATCCGTCACGTGGCTGAGCCGCATCCGTCACGTGGCTGAGCCGCATCTGTCACGTGGCTGAGCCACATCCGTCACGTGGCTGAGCCACATCTGTCACGTGGCTGAGCCGCATCCGTCACGTGGCTGAGCCGCATCTGTCACGTGGCTGAGCCACATCTGTCACGTGGCTGAGCCGCATCTGTCACGTGGCTGAGCCGCATCCGTCACGTGGCTGAGCCGCATCTGTCACGTGGCTGAGCCGCATCCGTCACGTGGCTGACCCATATCCACCCCATCACTGACCCACATCTGTCACATCACTGACCCACATCCATCCCATCACTGACCCACATCTGTCACGTGGCTGAGCCACATCTGTCACGTGGCTGAGCCGCATCTGTCACATGGCTGAGCCGCATCCGTCACGTGGCTGAGCCGCATCTGTCACATGGCTGAGCCGCATCTGTCACGTGGCTGAGCCATATCCATCCCATCACTGCCCCACATCTGTCACGTGGCTGAGCCGCATCCGTCACGTGGCTGAGCCGCATCCGTCACGTGGCTGAGCCACATCTGTCACGTGGCTGAGCCACATCCGTCACGTGGCTGACCCACATCCGTCACGTGGCTGAGCCATATCCATCCCATCACTGACCCACATCTGTCACGTGGCTGACCCATATCCATCCCATCACTGACCCACATCCGTCACGTGGCTGAGCCACATCCGTCATGTGGCTGAGCCATATCCATCCCATCCCTGACCCACAGCCGTCACATGGCTGAGCCATATCCATCCCATCACTGACCCACATCTGTCACGTGGCTGAGCCACATCCGTCACGTGGCTGAGCCATATCCATCCCATCACTGACCCACATCTGTCACGTGGCTGACCCATATCCATCCCATCACTGACCCACATCCGTCATGTGGCTGAGCCACATCCATCCCATCCCTGACCCACAGCCGTCACATGGCTGAGCCATATCCATCCCATCACTGACCCACATCTGTCACGTGGCTGAGCCACATCCGTCACGTGGCTGAGCCATATCCATCCCATCACTGACCCACATCTGTCACGTGGCTGACCCATATCCATCCCATCACTGACCCACATCCGTCATGTGGCTGAGCCACATCCATCCCATCCCCTGACCCACAGCCGTCACATGGCTGAGCCATATCCATCCCATCACTGACCCACATCTGTCACGTGGCTGAGCCACATCCGTCACGTGGCTGAGCCATATCCATCCCATCACTGACCCACATCTGTCACGTGGCTGACCCATATCCATCCCATCACTGACCCACATCTGTCACGTGGCTGAGCCACATCTGTCACGTGGCTGACCCATATCCATCCCATCACTGCCCCACATCTGTCACGTGGCTGCCCCACATTTGTCACGTGGCTGAGCCACATCTGTCACGTGGCTGACCCACATCCATCACGTGGCTGAGCCACATCCATCCCATCCCTGACCCACAGCCGTCACGTGGCTGAGCCACATCTATCACGTGGCTGAGCCACATCCGTCACGTGGCTGACCCACATCGATCCCATCGCTGACCCACATCCATCCCATCGCTGACCCACATCCGTCCCATCGCTGACCCACATCGATCCCATCGCTGACCCACATCCATCCCATCGCTGACCCACATCCGTCCCATCGCTGACCCACATCCATCCCATCACTGACCCACATCCGTCCCATCACTGACCCACATCCATCCCATCGCTGCCCCCACATGGATCCCATTGCTGACCCACATCCATCCCATCGCTGCCCCACATCTGTCATGTCACTGACCCACATCTGTCATGTCACTGACCCACATCTATCCCATCGCTGCCCCACATCCATCGCGTGGCTGCCCCACATCCATCGCGTGGCTGCCCCACATCCATCCCGTCCCTGCCCCACATCCATCCCATCCCTGCCCCCCCCCTCACCCCTTTCCCTCCCCCCTTGCAGGAGGAGCAACCGGAGGACACGAAGCCCCTTGGCGGCGCCGGCCATGGGGCAGCCGTGGGGCCGCCCCCCACGTCCTCCATGCTGGGCTCCGTGTCCTGCTGCCGCGTGTGCCGGCGCGCCGGGGCCGTGGTCATGTGCGACCGCTGCCAGCGCTGCTTCCACCTCGCCTGCCACCTGCCCGCCCTGCACGAGGTGCCCAGGTACCCGCCCCATAGCGCCCCATGGCGCCCCATAGCGCCCCATAGCGCCCCATAGGGCATCCCGTAGCGGCCCATACAGCCCCATAGTGCCCCATAGCGCCCCATGGCGGCCCATAGTGCCCCATAGCGCGGCCCATAGCGCCCCATAGGGCATCCCGTAGCGCCCCATGGCGGCCCATAGAGCATCCCGTAGTGCCCCATAGCGCCCCATAGGACATCCCGTAGCGCCCCATAGGGCATCCCGTAGCGCCCCATAGGGCATCCCGTAGCGCCCCATAGCGCCCCATGGCGCCCCATAGCGCGGCCCATAGCACCCCATGGCGGCCCATGGCGCCTCATGGCGGCCCATAGCACCCCATAGGGCATCCCGTAGCACCCCATGGTGGCCCATAGCACCCCATAGGGCGGCCCGTAGCGCCCCATAGGGCGGCCCATGGCGCCCCATAGGGTGTCCCACAGGGCGTCCTAGAGGGGCCCATAGGGTCCAAGAGCGTCCCATAGGGGCCAAGGGTGTCCCATAGGATCCAGGGGCATCCCATAGGGGCCCATCGGGGCCCATAGGGTCCCATGGCACCCCATAGGGTGTCCCATAGGGTCCCATGGCGTCCCATAGGAGCCAAGGGCGTCCCATGGGGTACAATGGCATCCCATAGGATCCAAGGGCATCCCATAGAATCCAATGGCATCCCATAGAATCCAGGGGCATCCCATAGGATCCAGGGGCATCCCATAGAATCCAGGGGCATCCCATAGGAACCAGGGGCATCCCATAGGATCCAGGGGCATCCCATAGAATCCAGGGGCATCCCATAGGATCCAAGGGCATCCCATAGAATCCAGGGGCATCCCATAGGATCCAGGGGCATCCCATAGAATCCAGGGGCATCCCATAGGATCCAGGGGCATCCCATAGAATCCAGGGGCATCCCATAGGATCCAAGGGCATCCCATAGAATCCAGGGGCATCCCATAGAATCCAGGGGCATCCCATAGGATCCAGGGGCATCCCATAGAATCCAGGGGCATCCATAGGATCCAAGGGCATCCCATAGGATCCAGGGGCATCACTTCCCTGCTGACCCCTTACCCCCCCTTGCTCCCATAGCCCCGAATGGAAGTGTTTGCTCTGCCAGGACCTGCCCCCCCCAGCCAGGGACCTCACCGAGGGGGCCCCCCAGAAGCTGTGCCCCTCGGACCAGCAGGTACACAGGGATGGGAATGAGGGATCCCATGGAATTCCAATGGGATCCATGCATCCCTTTAACCCCCCTTTCCCCTATAGAAGTGTGAGCTGGTCCTGCTGCAGCTCCTATGCCACGAGCCCTGCCGGCCCCTCCATCGCCTTTCCAGCTCCACGGTGAGTGCCATGGCTCCGGCTTCCTTAGGGAATCCATGGTGAGGGGATATAACGGATCCCTTCCCACTTCGGGAATCCTCCTTCCCATAGGATACCCCCCACCCCATCGACCTGACCCTCATACGGGCCCGGCTGCAGGAGAAGCTCACCCCCCATTACCGCAGCGCCGAGGAGTTCGCCCGCGACACTTGGAGGCTCCTGAGGCAGTTCAGCTCCCAGAGCGAGGTGGGATATTGGGATATAGGGAAGGAGACATCTTGTCCCGAAAAAAAACCCCTTTATTTTCCCTTCTTTCCTCCTTTTATTCCAGGATAAGGAACACGTTCAATCCATCCTGGCCTTGCAAAGCTTCATCGAATCCCGGCTCAGCGCTGCCTTCGGCGACGGCAAGTTCCCGGCTGCTCGATTCCTTATGGAACCCTTGGTCCCTAGGGATGAGGCTCCGGGCACCCCAATTCCCCCCCCATCCTGGTGTTGGGGGGCCCTGAGGCCTTCCCATGGCGTGTGTGCGTGTGTGTGTGTGTCCCTTGGAGGAATAAACCCATGGTTGAGCACCCCCCCCCCCCCCAAATCCCATCCTTCCCAAGGCTGGAATGGGAGCTACTGGGATGAGGAATGGAGTCGGGATGGGCCCAGTCCGGACCCCCTCCCTGCCCCACATTTTCCATCCTCGATCCAGGCTGGAGCCGAGATTGGAGGTGGGAATTCCGGGAATAGCCGATGTTTTCCGGTGGGGCACGAAGGGAGGGGGATCGGAAAGAGACGGAGAGTTCCGGAAAGAGCCGAAGATGCTCGGGAAGGGGGGGACCGCCCCTTAGTCCGGAAAGAGCCGAAGCGGCTCCGGAAAGAGCCGAAGATGCTCGGGAGGGGGGGGGACCACCCCTTAGTCCGGAAAGAGCCGAAGCTGCTCGGGTGGGGGGGACCGCCCCTTAGTCCGGAAAGAGCCGAAGATGCTCGGGAGGGGTGGGACCGCCCCTTAGTCCGGAAAGAGCCGAAGCGGCTCCGGAAAGAGCCGAAGATGCTCGGGAGGGGGGACGGGGGGGGGGAACCTCCCCTTAGTCCGGAAAGAGCCGAAGCTGCTCGGGGCAGCGCTCGGAGCTTTACGGAGGGACCCGAGGTTTTGGGGGGGCGCTTCGGGTCCACCCCCTTTGTCCGGAAAGAGCCGAAGCGGGTCCGGAAAGAGCCGAAGCTGCTCGGGGCGGCGTTCGGAGAGACCCGAAGTTTTGGGGGGGCGCTTCGGGTCCAACCCCTTTGTCCGGAAAGAGCCGAAGTGGGTCCGGAAAGAGCCGAAGCTGCTCGGGGCTCCCCATAGAGACACGGTGCGAGGCGCATTGAACCCGCCCCCGTTCCGGAAACAGCCGAAGTGGGTCCGGAAAGACCCGAAGCGTGCCGTTGTTTGGGGGGGGGGGGGTTGGGGGGTAAGCCCCCGGAAGGACTCGTGTTCCCTTTCCGGAAGAACCCGAAGCGCTTCTCAGCGTCCACCCCTCCCGAGCACTGTCCGGAAAGACCCGAAGGGGTCCGGAAAGACCCGAAGAGCTCCGGAAGTAGCCGAAGGGGTCCGGAAAGACCCGAAGAGCTCTGGAAGTAGCCGAAGGGCTCCGGAAGTAGCCGAAGGGGTCCAGAAAGACCCGAACAGCTCCGGAAGTAGCCGAAGGGCTCCGGAAGTAGCCGAAAGGGTTCCGGAAAGACCCGAAGGGGACCGGAAAGACCCGAAGGGGACCGGAAAGACCCGAAGGGCTCCGGAAGTAGCCGAAGGGTTCCGGAAAGAACCGAAGAGGTCCGGAAGTAGCCGAAGGGCTCCAGAAGTCGCCGAAAGGCTCCGGAAAGACCCGAACAGCTCCGAAAGTAGCCGAAGGGCTCCCGAAGTAGCCGAAGAGCTCCGGAAGTAGCCGAAGGGTTCCGGAAAGACCCGAAGGGGACCGGAAAGACCCGAAGAGCTCTGGAAGTAGCCGAAGGGGTCCGGAAAGACCCGAACAGCTCCGGAAGTAGCTGAAGGGCTCCGGAAGTAGCCGAAGAGCTCCGGAAGTAGCCGAAAGGCTCCGGAAAGACCCGAACAGCTCCGGGAAAGAGCCGAAGAGCTCCGGAAGTAGCCGAACAGCTCCGGAAGTAGCCGAAGGGCTCCGGAAGTAGCCGAAGAGCTCCGGAAGTAGCCGA